AAAAAAAAAAAAAAAACGGGAAACGGTCATCGCAAGGCAAAAAAAACTGTATGCTTATCAGTCAGCAACTTTAGTAACAAAGGCTAAACAGTGCTTTTTTAGGAGGCTGTTCAGTAGGCACTGCCATTGCTGCAGCTGCTAATGCCTTAACAATATTATCTTTGCCAGCACACTTAGTGGCTATACAGCTAAAAATTAAAAGCAAACATCATATTGTCCGCAAAATTTGTTTGCCTTATCAAAGCAAAATTAATTAGCGAAGGGGGGGGAAAAAAAAGGGAATCAATTTTTTCACAGCAGTTTCTTTATTTATTTATTTATTTATTTTTTTTGCTGTTTTGGAAATCATCATCATATTCATTCAGCTGTTTATTCAGTTATTCATTCATTCATTCATTCATTTAACTGATTCATTCATTTATTCCTTTCTTCATTCCTTTGTTTATTTGTTTATTCATTTAGTTGCTCATTCATTCATTCATTCATTCACTAGTTTTATCTGTGTTTTTGTCGTTTCTGTTCGGCTACTGTTGGTTGTTCTAACAGCAGCATATACTGACACCAATAACATCGAAGTTGCTGAAGTAAAATGAGCAGTACATCATTCAAAAAAAAAGAACCTCTGATAGTCTTACAAATCGGTATAACCTTTTGGAGGCGAAAATGAAGAAGAAGAAGAAGAAGAAGAAGAAGAAGAAGAAGAAGAAGAAATGCTCTTTTATCTTCTAAACATGACAATTTATTTTCCTTCCTTTTATTTTTTGTTTTCATAGTCGTTTTTTTTTTTTTCTTTAAAGAGATATAAAGAAGCCAAAGTAAAGGGCATAAAATTGCTGTAAACAGTTATTGAAGTTGTTTGTTCATTAATTCATTCAACAATTTTTTATTTATTTATTTGTTCATTTTGTTTATCCATTTGTTTACTCATTAATTCATTAATTCACTCATTTTTTTTTTTTCACTTATTCATTCATTTATTTATTCATTTGTTCATTTGTTCACTTATTCAGTAAGTAATTCAGTCAATTAGTAGTCAGTTGGTCAGTTAGTTTGTTCATTCTCATTCATTCGGTTCAGCTTCATTCATTTATCTGTTCATCTAAAACAAAGAAAAAAAAAATTTTTTTATTCAATCCTCTTTTTCTTACTTTTTTAGCTTAGCTTTTTTTTTGTATTCTATTTTTGTTAGCATTTAAATCACCTTCCTTTTTTAGGTCTTTTTTGAAATCGATGACAAATCTAAAACAATATAAGTGTTCAAATTTTTTTTTTGGAAGCACATTTCCATTAAGCCATAAACCGTCTACAGTCTTCTTTTTTTTTTCCTTTTTCCTTCCTCATTTTTGTTGGTACATCAGAGTAACATTGGAGCTGAACAGACATCGTTGGTTACATTTTGCAAAAGGAAATAAGTTGGAGA